ATTTGCCACTCATGGTAACTGATAGTGTTAGTTTTCCGTTCTCAGGAATGTTATGGATTTAAATAAAAAATGAATTCGTTAAGAGGAAATTAATATGTAAGTAGCTATTCAGGTAGATATGAGGAAAAGATTTTAAAGTTGGCTCAGAAATGACTGAAGATTAGGAAACAATGTTCTAATTCAAGAAACCTGCTGGACTGTAAGATCCTCAAAGTCATCAACATTGCATTTGTGGTACTTTCTGCAACACAGACACAAACACACATGCGCACACGTACACACACACATCAGGAATCTAATGAGAATGTTGTTTCCTCAAGGGGAGAGATAAATGATGGCTGACTGCTTGACCTAATAAAGTTCGATTAGATAGTCTTTAACATTTTAAGGTTTTCTTTGGAAGAATGTTAGAAAATTACTCTCACAAGTAGATGATAAACACTATCGATAGTCAATCTTATACCTGTATAATCTTATATTTTGTACCCCGAATATTCTTATCTAGCATGATCACCTACCTAAATCCTCAGACTTATTTGCTTCTTTTTAAAAAAATCAAGTCTGGCCTCTGAGGTTACTATTTGCCTTGGAAAAGAACTTTGAGGCAGGCTCTGAATGTACATACGAGCTACACTGTGAACCAAAAGCAACCCGGCCAGGGACAGACAAGGAAGACTGTATTCCTCAGTTGCTCTTTTTAGTCTCGCTCCCTGGACTTGTAAAACTTACAAAGCATCGTTACAAACATATAAGCCAATAACACTCAGGAACACCTGGAACCCCCGAGAATGGTTCTTCCATTCTCAGATAGTCATTATTTTCTATTTTCTAGAGAGCGGAGCATACAACCAAGCTGTATTTTCACACAACCATGTTGGATGCAAATCTTTCTAAATCTTTCCCAAGGTCACAGAGTGAGTACATTGTAAGGCCTGGATTTAAACCCAGGTCTGTTGGACCATCCGATCTCTGACCACAGCAATGTGCTACCACCACCCAAGAACTAAAGACCACCGGGTCTAGTTTTTATAATTTACACTAATCCTTCCTCATTATCAAGCTCAAGTGTCATTTCTCTTTGGACTATGAAAGACTCCTTTTTATTTTCTCGCTTATTTCATGTTTCTCAACAGTCATGCGTAAGGATATTGCCAGGTGCCTGAACACTAGATTGGATGGACCTACTTTATTGAGAGTGGGTTCTGAGTAGAGAGTAGAAGATCCAATAATCATAATCATAATGATTTCACATGACCAGACTCAAAATACATAGAGTTGTAAAGAAGTTTGAAGATAAAAGACCTAGGGTTTGATGGGAAAATTTTTGTTCTACATCCCTGAATTTAACTCTGTAATTATGTGGCATATGTCTTTTAGCAGACTAGAAACTGAAATGAGGAAAAATATTTGAAACAGAAATGACTTGTATTTGGAATCAGCAGTGACTAGTTTCACTGATGAGAGAAGAAGTTCACAGAATGTTAGAGCTGAAATGAGAGCGCCTCGGAGATCATTTTCATCAAGAGATGAGGACAGCGAGACTTACAGAAGTGACTTGCCCACAGCTTTATGAGTTACTATGCAATTGCCATCAATTAACTGTGTCATATTAAACACATCAAGCATAAACAAGAAAATTTAGCCTTCGAGGCAAACAGCCGTGTGTTAGTTTCATCTGTTATGGAGCTGATGGAGTTGATGGGTAGGGAACATGCCAACACACTGTCCAAACATATGCCTGAGTTCTTGCCTCTCATAAAGGCTTCTGGGTCCATAGTGAAAGAACTAAGTGGTAGAGCAGATGTCCAGGAATGAAAAAATGCCCATCTCATGCCCATAGGCTGTATACAATCCCATCCAAAGCAGAACAATATACCAGAAGGGCGGTATCTTCCCCAGATGCTGTGAAGGGGAACGCAGACTTTCTTTTATAGCAGTGGTGAAGGGGCTGGTCTTATAACTTCAAAGGGGCTAGATGTGGTGTTGGTAAATCTTTTTTTGGTCTGTATATTTTTTAGCTGTCTATAATAACTGTGTTCTCTCTGAAATGGTAAACTCGAGAACAACAACCCTGTGTTTCGCCAGCTTTGCTTGATGAATATCGCTAAGTATCTTTCAGTCAGAAAGATGAAAACAGAGCACAGTTTCAGAGGGTTCAGTTTCTAAAGACTGATGATTTCCCAACTGATGACTAGACACCGGCTTAAGCAGGGAGGTGGAACAAGATGCCCAGACACCAATCCTCCTCCAAGAAAAGCACATACCCGCGGGCTACCTGAGGTTGTCCCATTGTGGGAGCAGAAAATCATCCTAAGAATTCAGCCTAATTAATGGTGGATGATGGTGAGATCTGTTCTGAGGACTGGGATGCAAAGTTTTACGAGGGAATGTTGAGGATTCTCATGCCTTGAAGTAGAGCTCTCATTGGAAAAAGAGTTTTCTTTCCAGGTAAACTAAATATTCTCCATTATAACTTTAGCTCTGAAAGTGGGTTTCTGAGGAAAACCAAACAATAGCTTTCTCTGGGGACCTTTCAGACAGTTACAGCCCCACATCAAAGCAGGCAAGTCTGGGGTAGTTTCCTATAGAGAAAGGAATTTGATTATATATCCTCTAATGGTTCCATTCAACTCAAAGAACCTAGGATCCAGTGACCTTTCAATTGGTTTAGAGAGATTCTGGGCTCTTGTCCTTGCCATGACCCTGACAAGACTTTGATCAGGGAGTGGCCATCTCTATGAGCCTTACTTTCTCCATCTGTAGCACCGCCTAGGCCAGGAAGTGTTTTTGATGAGCCTGAGTCAGTCTGCTGTTTGTTTAGAAAAGATATCCACACCCAAGAGAAATTGTTTCTTTAAAAAAAAATAATGGCAGACTGTCTCATTACATACGATGGCAACAATCTTCTTTCCAGGGACAGACACAGCCTGGAAGAAACCCCTCTGCTTAGGATACCTTGACTCCTCCAAAATCCTTTACCTTTACTTACTCTGAATTCCAACAGAGTCTGCACCACAGAGAGAGCACCCAGTCACGTGCCTTCTATTTTGTCTCCCAAACTTAAAGTCTGAGCTCTGAGAAGAAAAGGGCCAATTTATTTATTTGTTTATTTATTTATTTATTTAATTGCATGCAAATCTTGTATATAGGTTGAAAGAAAAAAAAAAAAAACGGACAGGCTGTTGTTATAGACTGAATGTTTTGTATCCCCTCCAAACTCATACATGAAGCTTTAACTCCCAATGTGATGGTAGTAGGAGGTGGGGCCTTTGGGAAGTGATTAAGTTTCGATGAGGTCAGGAGGACAGAGCCCCCCTGATGGGATTAGTGCCCTTATAAGTAGAGGAAGAGACACCAGAGCTCTCCCTCTCTCCATATGCACACAAAGAAGAGGTCACGTGAGCATACAGTGAGATGGCTGCCATCTGCAAGCCAGGGAGAACCCTCATCAAGAACCGAATCTGCTGGCACCTTGGTTTTAGACTGTACAGCCTCTAGAACTGTGAGAAATAAATGTGTGTTGTTTAAGCCACCCACTCCGTATTATTTTGTTATAGCAGCCTGAGTTGATGAAGACACCTGGTTAAGTTCCGATTGCAGTTTTTGTGGGTATGGCTCTTTGGTATACAAGTGTCATCTTTTAAAAACTGAGTCATATGAGCCAGTGGTATTCCCTGCAAGCCTTTCTACAGTGTGGACAGCATTATTTCTGGCTCTCTGACTCTTAAAGAATATTCTGTTAGCCACTTATTATTCTTAAATTCTTTTGCTTCTTGAATTAGTCAGAGTGGATCCCCATGTCCACAGCTAAGAACCCTAGCCAATAACATGAAAAAATACAGTTGGAAAGAAAGTTGGAAAGAAATACAGTTGGGATTAAACAAGTTTCTTTACAGGATCTCTATGAATCATTAATATAATGTGTATAGTCCATCTCCAAAAGGAAGATAGAGAGTGTGGCAGTATCTTTACCTACCCTATAGAGACTGATTATTGCATCCCAGAACAGTTAATCCTGCAAGGGGTTTGTAAAGAACTCCAGGCCTGGTACAAACTGGCCCAGCCTATAAGTGCTACCCTTGGCCATCTCTGTCATTCCCTGGCTCTCTGATGCTGGGCTGCCTGAAAATGTCCCCTGAAACAGATTCTTCTTTAACACTATAAAGCAACAGAAATAAAGGCAGAATAAGCGACACTTTCTTTGATCTGAAGGTAGATTTTCACTTGCTGTATCTTCTTTTCTTTGGGTCTAGTGCCTGTGAGTAAGTATATATTTTCATCACTATCTCAATGCAAAACCTAACTGAAAGTCATTCTTCTATGAAATTTCTCTCTCTTCACCTGGGAGGAGAGAGAGAATCCACGTGAAAATCCATTCTGTGTTTCCCCAGCAATGCATCCTTCCCCCTCCTAAGATCATATATTCCAGTTTCTTAGAGATCTTTCTTTCTTTCTTTCTTTTTTTTTTTTTTTTACCACCTACAGCACCTTGTCTTCCTAGGTGGTCTCCCATCCAAGTACTAACCAGGCCCTACCCTGCTTAGCTTTCGAGATCAGACGAGATCTGGCACGTTCAGGGTAACATGGCCATAGACTAGAGATCTTTCTAAATGGCTGTATTATGTTTCAAGCTTTCATATTCATGTATCCACCATATTGAAAGTCTCTTTTACTTATTCACTGGGAGAACAGACAGCATTAAAAATATTAGGCACCTTGAGGTCAGAGATACCTGATTTCATAGCCCTGTCACTAACTGGTTATGTGTACTTAATGAAGGGCAGAATCTTTCTGAGGCTCAAGCATCTCGAATCGGATTGGCAAACAAGGCTTGTGGGAAGAGCCCTGGCTTTTGGGGAAAGTTATTGGCATGTAGACAGAGCAGTAAATAGCCAAGCTATCTGAGAAGAGGAGAGGCCATGAAAATCCTGCTGACAGACTGGCCCTGCTGAGCTAAGCTCTGACAGCAAGCAGAGAGATGAGAAGAGTTCATTACATACGGGACTCCGATCTCAAAGATGTTGTTCTGAATCAACTGCTTCCCCAACATGATGATGCTGAGCTGAATGCAGAGCTCCATGAGGCAGCCCCCAGGAGCACACTGCAGAGAGGAAAAGACAAAGGAAGGAGCAGTTAGACCAAGTGAGCTTAGAGAAGCAACGGTGTGAATCCAGTCATGCTCAAGGGTAAGGATGGGGCTGGGAGTGGCAGGTGCACCTACAAACCACTAGCTAGGCGGGAAATACCAGTGGCTGTTACTTGCCTCTTCCATGCGGTAACCATCGAACACATAAACATAGCTTCCAGGTCTTCCCACAAACCTGAAAAAAAAAAGGAAGAGTGGGATAGAGAGAAAGTCAGGGATGCTTGAGAGTATGCCTTCAGAGGAATAACCACTGCCCAGTGTCCCTCTGGAAAGTGCTGGCCAAGGCAGGTGCTAAATCACCCTATTATCAGCTAATAATCACCTATAACACCTAGGGTTCACCTCCATGAGATAGGGGTAAGGCTGGGTCTAGTGTGGGGCTGGGAAAGTCACAGGGCACATGTGCATGTATGCGTGTGTGTGTGTGTGATAATTTCTGAGCCTAAACACAATGAAATTTGAATTCTCTCGAAGTGTACTGTATGAGCATCTTCGTCCCTCAACTAGTTTCAAGAATTGATTTCTGGTTGCGGCTCCTTGGTGAGCTTTTCTGATTTCCCAGGAAACAAAGGATGAGACAGACTAAAAAGTTCTAAGTGGAAATTCCTGAGATCAGAAAAGAAAAATTTAGATTTCTTACTGAAAATATTCAAAAGAATGGAAGCAGCCTGCCTCATTCCTCTTTAAAGCAGTAATGATTTTACTGGGGGATAAGAAGAAGGCAGGTGAGAGAAGCAGAAAGGTAAAAGTCAATCATGGAACCAGACAGGTAATCAGAAGAATCTCACTTATTTGAAATGTCATGCCTGTGTCCACCTGTTAAAATCATACTCATCTATATAGGGCTGAGTTTAGACCTTTCCTTCTCTGTGAGGTCTTCTTGTCTTTGTTCATCAAGTGTTCCCCTCACACTTTCTTTACATCTTTTATTACATCACTTTTTGGAGATAACAGGGTGCTTATTGCCAAGACTATCTCTTTCTCTACACCACGAGTTTATCTAAAAGTTAAGACCCTATTTATTTTTTGCCTAGAATATCATATGTATGCCATTTGTTATTGATAATAAATCTAGATAGAAAACACCAATGAAGTATCTACTCATCAATACGAATAGTTTCTCTGCTACTATATATAATTTCATGAGAGTCAAGGGCAGAAATTCTGGGAAAAGGTTGTGGTTTTTGGCAACGAATACATTTATAAGAAATTATCAAATGTGGATGATGACAGCTCTTGCCATCGATGTCTGCTCGATGAGCATTTAGTTCTAAGGAAGCTTTCTTGACATAGTTGATGCGTACTAGGAAATTTCCTTGAAGGTAGCCAACTGATTTAACCACAAAATATATTTATCAGAAGCGATTTTACATCCAGACCTATTGTATAATGAAGAATTTGACTGGCCTTTGTTGCTTGTTCCTGGGAAGAGCCTCTAAATCCTTAGAACTTCCGAATAGGAGTGTCTTTGTTATTCTTTGTAGGCTCTTGGAACTATACCTAAGCTTATGCTAATGAGATCACTCAAGATGAAGAAGACCAGGCCAGAAAGATCAACCATGTGATTAGAGGGTTGGGCCTTTGCACGGTGTAATAGCACCCTGACCTCAGGGAATGAGGGGAGGACTGAAGATTAAGTTCAATCATGTGGCCAATGATTTGATCAATCATGCCTACATAATAAAGTCCCAATAAAAACTCTCAACACTGAAGCATGGATGAGCTTCACGGTTGGTGGTATACATCAGTGTGCCAGGAAGCTGACATGTCCTGTGGACCTGAAAGTTCCCGTTTAAGACCCTCCTAGACCTTGTCCTATGTGCCTCTCTCATTTGCTGGCTTGGATTTGTATCCCTTCGCTATACTAAAACTATAATTTTAAGTATAGAACGCTCTTGAGTTCTGTAATTTGTTCTAGTGAATTATTGAACTTGAGGGGTTACTGGTTATAGAGGTTATTGTCTAAATCATGAGTGGCCTGGGAATCCCAGAGCTTTGGCCAGTGTCTGAAGTGAGGGCAGTGTTATGGAAGACTGTGCTCTTAAGCTGTGAAGTCTGCACTAAGTCTGGGTAGTTAGCTTCAGAATTACATTGCAAAATCTAAGAGCCACTGGCTAGACATGAAATTCCCTCCCACCTCATCCTCAAAGTTGGGAGACACAAATTCTTTTAAGCCTTTCAGGGCCCAGAGCCAAATCCCTGTAGAGTTTCCCTACTTATCAGAATCTGGAGATGCTAACATAAAATGATTTAGTGTTAAAACCACTGCTTCATGAACAGCCAGGTGGAGGTGGAGATGGGGAATAGGGCTGAGGATGTGAACTGACAATAGGGACAGGCTGACTCTAGTGGATGACCCAGACTTCATGACCAATTTTCCCTCCATATATGGCACTAAAATACTCACCTCCCCTTGAAAAAGGCCACATAGAAGATGGGAGAGTAGGCATTGACAAACTTTAGCAAGAAAGCTTTGAGTATCAGGCGTTCTTCAAAAGTCTGTTCTGTTTTGGGGACCTCTGAAAGAGAAGAGCAAAGCTGGTAAGACTGAGAGACAGATTTCTCACCTCTCCAGAGTTATGACCCTGTCACGTGAGTGATTGTCTCTCAGCTTACTCCTGCAGAGGAAGACCAAGAGATCCAGCTCTCTGGCACATTAGAATAGAATTCGTCTGGGAGGTCCCAAATGGTTTGCCAGGTAACATGAGGCTACAGAAGGTCCAGAGTACATTAGATCATCACCTTCTTCCTACACTTCCCTCCTTTCATCCATTCAAGCAATGGTTTCACATGTGCTCCTCAAAGAGAGGTCTGAGCAAACTGAATTTCCTCCCAACAACTTTGCTTCATCAAGGGAATTCAGCTCTTACCTACATAATTGCCACTTCCATCATATTTTACTTGAACGAAAGTCCTTGATGAAAAAGGCTTGTTAAGCACTGAACTAGAGTCAGGAGGCAGCGAAGACGCATCTCGGGCACAATGGCATTGCTTCTCTTTCTCTCTCCACTTTTAGCAGGAGAGAGTATGTCCTCTGGGCATGTTGAGACATCTTTCATTCACTCACTCAAATGATGAAGGATCAACAAGTAAGTAAAAGAAACACAACATGAACCTAACGTCTCAAACTTAGGGGTCCCAGTGTGTTCTACCAGGTCCAAGCACTGGAGTCAGATGATGTTCCCCAAAGGATGCTGAGAAATGCTGATAGAAATCTCACTGATGCCTTGAGAAGACTCAATACCCAGGAGATGCTCCAGTGAGCACTGTGCAGAGTGCTTACTGGGGTCCCCACAGACCATGACAAAGAGCTTGGCGATGGAAAGAGGTTACAGGGCCACACTCCAGGGACATAAGGGAAGCACTAACCCTGTATAATGTGCACTAATAAGTACAGCCTGAAAGTGTGCTGAGCACAAGGCCCAAGTGCCAGGGCCATGCCGCCCAGTGAGTTCTGTGTCCAGATGAGACCGGTGTGAGGACGTGCCTGACATGTCTGCTCACCTGACTCACAGACAGTTTTTGCAGGAATCATTAGAAAAGTGGACATGAGATCCTGTTCTAGGCCCTGGAATGCCATTCACTGATCCATCTCCTCATGTACATACCCTTCACATCCTTTAACAACCAGATCAAATGTTACACACAATCTCCTTCCTGAAGCTCTCCCAGGTGCCATTGGCTGGTAGTAACCTCTCTCTGTTTTCTTCCATAGTATTTTATATTTTTCTATATTAATTACTTACATCCATGCCCTTTAAAAATCACAGTAATAGTAGCTTTCATTTGTTGTCTGTGTCTTCTTTTGGGTTACCCTCTAAGTCAAAGATTTGGAAGTGGTTTATTTGGGAGGTGCTCCCAGGAAGCTTGGTGAGGGAGTAGTAGGGGGTAAGACAGACAAGGGAGGGAAGACAACATGGATAGGTTCATGAAAAGGTTAATGCCACAGGCCACTTGGACTCAGTCCCACTGGAGACCTTCTAAGAGACTGTGAAACACACCTCAGAATCATTACACTGAGGAGTGAGCAAGCAGGAGTCCATCACTGGTTGAAGGTCACTGCTGGCCTTGACTCTCTGGCACTTAAGCTTGTCCTGCGCACAGGCTGAGCATGCACCCCACAGATAGGATGCCCACAGGCAGAGAGCCGCAGCGACCTCCAGGGTGGCTGAGGGGATGTGCGTGTTGCACAAGTGTGTCTGCTACAGGCTGCTGCTCTGCAGTTAGGGCATCACACGTGGGTGCATGAGTCTGTGACTTCATTTCATCCTCACCTACCTATGTGAGGGAGGTATTACATCTCACTTTTTTGAATGAATGGAACTGAGACCCAGAAAGGTTAGAGCCTTCCTCAAGATCACGTGGCCAGTGACAGAGTTAAGATGTGACCTAGATCTGCCCAGCTCCAAAGACAGTTTTTACTACACCACACTTCAAAATTAGGATCTTTGATTAAATATTGTTTACATTGCATATTCCCTTTCACCTCCTGACCCTCCATCCCCAGGCTAACATAACACACCTAAGAAATATTTGTCACTGTTCAGCTCACATTTATTGAGGACCAGCTATGTGCCAGGCACCATGCCAGGATGAATGAAGACCTCACCACTTCTTTTAAGGAGCTGCATTTGGCAAGATCTCTGTGAAAGCCTTTTGCAAACTGCCAAGTCTCCTCCAGATTCTCTGTGAGCGATGAGGTATCATCTCCCGTCTAATCATGGCAGGGGAGGGTCTTAGGGAGCAGAATGCTGCATATCTATGATCCGCTTTCCCACTCCTCATTCATTTGCAACCCTAGAACACAGTCCTGTGTATCAGATGATGCTCAACATCCAATCATGAGCAGAGCATTGCCAAGGAGACTGTCACTGGCAGACCTGAGCCCTGAGGACCCATGGAAAATGGGAAAGCTTAGAGACCTCATAGCATTACTATCACAAGTGTGATTCTGCCTTGATTCTCCCTAAGGCTGATAGAGTCCCGGGAAATGAGAGTTACTCACTTGTCCTAGTCTCCATAAGCCCTGAGAAACATGCTATCACTCCTATAAACTCAGCAACACTGAAAACTGGTTCACTCTCCAAGCTTCCCCTCACCTTGATGACTACTTTAGTTCACTGATGTTGGCAAACAGTCCTAGAGGCCCTGGCAGGCCATGCTGAGCCTGACAGAGCACCCTGTTACCCTGTTTGTGGCTCAGCTGGTGTGGAGGGGAGAGATTATTTGCTTGTTTTGTTTGCTTACAGAGATGGCTCTAGGTGCAGATTTTAGCATCAGACATATTTGAGTTTAAATGCAGAAGATAATTAGAGGTCTGAAGTTATATAAAAGAGAAAATGGCACCTGCCTTATAGGGTTGCCCTGAGGACATGCTGGGAATGCTTATAAGGCACTCAGCCTAATGCCTGGCATGTGGTTGACCTCAATAAATGACAGCTCCTACTGTCATCATCATTGTCACCATCATCGTCATCCAGGTCCAGCTGCCCTGCTTTTGACAGCACAGTTAGGCTGTTCATGGCCAGATGTTAATACACATGTCTAATCTCTTGAGATTCTGGGCATCAGTTCCATGTTAATTTTCTACCAGTCAATGGTGAGCATGGCTGATAAGTAACTCTGCTGGCACACAGCTGGGAGAGTTGAATCAGCATAGCTCCTGTCCCCACCCCTACGACCCCTCAACCCCCAACCAAACTTCCTGAGGTCCTCCAGGCAAGTGTAGAAATATCGTTGCCTGCCAGGGAATCTGGAGACATTGCTGTAATTCTATAGGAGAGGAAGCTGGACAAGTCTATCACGACAGCCGTCAGCTGGCAGAGAGCTTTGTGGTTCTCTCTTTCTTGCCACGTCTGGGTGGACACACATACAGCCCAATGAGATATAAGTCCTGGCCAACCCGCAACTGCCTCGCCCAATAAGAATCTGGATGAGGATTTGTCCTTATCATTGACAGTTAACATTGCCGCTTCTGTTACTTCCTCAGTTTATGTCTGTTAGCAAAGCTCCTCAGGTCTCTAACCTCTCAGGCCTTTGCCCTCCTTGCTATGAATCCTGCCAGACAGAGGTCAGTATCTCCCTGCTGACTGACGGGTATCAGATCCTCCCCTGCCTTAAGACACACACCCACATCTTCAGCCAGATTCTTATTCTCCGCGACTAAAGGAAACAACGCTGAGGCCCAGGTGGAATGCCTGCCGTCAATATCTAAGGTCACTTTTAGTTTTAAAATCTCATAACTCTGAACTCCCATGTGGCTGTTAACCCGATCACTTTCCCCACCCCATCCCGCTCTGCCCTTACCATGGACAGTTTGAATGGCTTTTTCACAATGAATATGGTCATAGCTGTCACCAGATATACCCTACTATGCACATTTATTGAATGAATGAATGAATGAATGGATTACTGAATGAATGAAAGGAAAAAACATTATTTAGAACAGTAGAAATGTTTTGTTATTTACTAAAAAATTCCCTGTCACATTCCAAGGAGGGCAAATCCTGAGGAAAGAATTTTGCTTGCTGAGCAGGATAATGCTCATTAAGATACAAAAGAGGGGCAGCCAAAAGAGAGTTACACTTCCCTACATGAGACACCAGGTGAGTGAGTGTGCTGGAAGTAGATGCAGGTCTCAGAAAAGCCGAGAGCCAGTGCGATGAGAGGGAGAAGGGCAGAGACGGAGATGAGGGTGCTGCTGCTAAAGAAGAAATTTAAGTGACAGGCTGGAGAGGGGGTTGCGAAGAGACCCAGCGGAAGTTTTCATTAACTTCCATTGTCGGATTGGTAGTACAACGACCTCATTTGCCTCTCCATGGCATCTTCGGCAAAGATTCTTTAAAACCTGCTTTCCTTAACAGTGCTTGAAGAATTCTGCATTTGTTCTTGGGGGAGGGATGTGTCCAAGGATGAACAGAGACTGTCCACGACCCCTGCTCTATCTGGGTTAAAGATGGAAAGATTGGAGGAGGGGAGAGAGGGAAAGGGAGAAGGAGAAGGAGGTGGGGGAGGGAGAGAGGGAGATAGAGAGAGATAGAGAGAGATAGAGAGAGAGAGAGAGAGAGGAGGGAGGGAGGGGTGACTACGAGGGAGAGGGGAAAGGGGGTGCAAGGGAGAGAGGGAGAGAAGGAGGAAAAACTTTTTAGTAGGAATTCAGGCCTCTGCCCAGTGTGCCTGAGGCAGCAAATTCATCTCATGTCACATGTCATCTCCCACTTTTAAATACTTTGTAGATAAGAAAATTAAAACTGATGTCACCCCAAAATAAGTAATTAGGTCTGAGGAGCTAAAAATTTAGAAAACTTATAAATATAGCTAGAAGGGGATTAAGGATGAGGTATGGAGAGGCACATGTCTTTGATTTTCATTTTATAATCCCCTTTGAACTATCTGTACTCAGATCTCCCAGTCCCTACAGGAATTTCCTCCAAGGTCTCTGGAAAGACAATCCGGAGTTCTTTCAGAGCTCTTTGCTCCAACTGGAAATGAATGGCTCCCTTCCTCCGTACTGATAAAT